GGTGCTGTGAGGTGTTATGGGGTGCTATGGGGTGTTACGGGATGTTATAGGGTGCTATGGGGTACTGTGGGGTGCTGTGGGGTGCTGTGAGGTGTTATGGGATGCTATGGGGTGTTATGGGATGTTATAGGGTGCTATGGGGTGCTGTGGGGTGCTGTGGGGTGCTATGGGGTGCTGTGAGGTGTTATGGGATGCTATGGGGTGTTATGGGATGTTATAGGGTGCTATGGGGTACTGTGAGGTGTTATGGGGTGTTATGGTGTGCCGTGGGGTGCTATGGGGTGCCATGGGGTATTATGGGATGCCATGGGGTGCCATGGGATACCATGGGTATTATGGGATGCCATGGGGTGCTATGGGGTGCTATGGGGTGCCATGGGGTTTTATGGGGTGCCATGGGGTGTTATGGGATGCCATGGGTATTATGGGATGCCATGGGGTGCCATGGGATGCCATGGGGTATTATGGGATGCTATGGGGTGCCATGGGGTATTATGGGATGTCATGGGTATTATGGGATGCCATGGGGTGCTATGGGGTGCCGTGGGGTTTTATGGGGTTTTATGGGGTGCTATGGGATGCCATGGGTATTATGGGGTGCTATGGGGTGCCATGGGGTTTTATGGGGTGCCATGGGGTATCGTGGGCATTATGGGGTGCCGTGGGCATTATGGGATGCCGTGGCAGGGACGTGGTGCCGGACATCAGAGCCGCCTGCATGGAGGAGCTGGGGGTGTGGATGCGCGGCTTCCCGGCGTCGTTCCTCAGCGATGGGCACCTGAAGTACCTGGGGTGGAACCTGCACGACAAGGTGGGCGCTGGGGGGCTAACGGGGCATTTGGGGGGCTGGGGGGGCATTGGGGTCTGTGGGGCTAATGGGAGACATTGGGGTCCATGGGGACATTGGGGTCTGTGGGGTTAATGGGGGACATTGGGGGCTGTAGGGGGATATTTAGGGTCTGTGGGGGCTGTGGGGAGTCTGTGGGCTTAATGGGGGATATTTGGGGTCCATGGAGTTAATGGGGGATGTTTAGGGTCTGTGAGGACATTGGGGTCTGTGGGGTTAATGGGAGACATTGGGGTCCATGGGGACATTGGGGTCTGTGGGGTTAATGGGGGATGTTGAGGGGCTGTGGGGGATATTTGGGGTCTGTGGGGGATCTGTGGGGTTAATGGGGGATATTTGGTGTCTGTGGGGTTAAGGGGGGACATTGGTTGTCGATGGAGATCCATGGGGATCAATGGGGTCCATGGGGTGCTGTGGGATCTCTGGAGTGCTGTGGGTTCTATGGGGCGCTGTAGTCCCTCTGCTCTCTGGGGCGCTGTGGGCTCTATGGGGCGCCGTGGGCTCTATGGGGTGCTGTGCTCTCTCTGCCCTATGGGGCGCTGTGGTCTCTCTGCTCTATGGGGCACTGTGGGGTCCATGGGGCGCCGTGGGCTCTATGGGGTGCTGTGCTCTCTCTACTCTATGGGGTGCTGTGGGGTCTATGGGGCGCCGTGGTTCCTCTGCTCTATGGGGCGCTGTGGGGTCTATGGGGCACTGTGGTCCCTCTCTGCTCTATGGGGCGCTGTGGGGTCCATGGGGTGCCATGGGCTCTGTGGGGTGCTGTGCTCTCTCTGCTCTATGGGGTGCTGTGGGCTCTATGGGGCGCTGTGGGGTCTATGGGGTGCTGTGCTCTCTCTGCTCTATGGGGCGCTGTGGGGTCCATGGGGTGCCGTGGGTTCCATGGGGCGCTGTGCTCCCTCTGCTCTGTGGGGCGCCGTGGTCCCTCTCTGCTCTATGGGGTACTGTGGGATCTCTGGGGCGCTGTGGGCTCTATGGGGCGCTGTGCTCCCTCTGCTCTATGGGGCGCCGTGGGCTCTATGGGGCGCTGTGCTCCCTCTGCTCCGTGGGGCGCAGGAGCCGTTGGTGCGGCTGCGCTGCGTGCGGTCGCTGCGCGCTCTGTACGCCCTGCCTGACACTGCGGCGCAGATGGAGCTTTTCACCGGGCGCTTCAAAGTGAGACGCGGCCCCACAGCCCCACAACCACAGCCCCATAACCACAGCCCCATAACCACAGCCCCATAACCACAGCCCTGCAACCCCACAACCACCGCCCCATAACCGCAACCCCATAACCCCATAACCACAGCCCTGCAACCCCTCAACCACCGCCCCATAACCGCAACCCCATAACCCCATAATCACAGCCCTGCAACCCTATAACCATAGCCCCGGAACGACAATCCCATAACTCCATTAATGATAGCCCTGCAACCCCATAACCACCGCCCCATAAACCCATAACCACAGCCCTGCAACCCCTCAACCAACCGCCCCATAACCGCAACCCCATAACCCCATAATCACAGCCCTGCAACCCTTTAACCATAGCCCCGGAACGACAATCCCATAACTCCATTAATGATAGCCCTGCAACCCCACAACCACCGCCCCATAACCACAACCCCATAACCGCAGCCCCAGAGATCCCACAGCATCCCGTAACCCCATAACCACATCCCTGCAACCCTATAACCACAGCCCCAGAACGACAACCGCATAGCTCCATAATGACAGCCCTGCAACCCCATAACCACAACCCCATAACCACAGCTTCATAATCCCATAACCCCATAACCACAGCCCCATAACCCCATAACCATGACCCCACAACCCCATAACCACAACCCAATAATCTCAACCCCACAGCCCCACAACCCCATAACCACGGCCCCACAGCCCACACCCCATATCAAGTAGCCCACCCCCCGCATTCCATATTTCCATATTTCATATTCTATATCCTATATCCCGACATGCTCATCTCCCACATCCCAAAACCCGCACCCCAAATCCCATACCCCATACCCCATACCCCAAACACCGTATCCCAATTCCCCCACACCCCATACCTTCAAACCCCATACCCCAATGCCCCCATATTCCTACTTTCTACATCCTCGTGTCCCCATGTCCCCCCACACCCCATATCCCCACACCCCACATCCTTGTATCCCGATGCCCCCATATCCCATTTTTCCCATTTCCCCATCCCCCATATCCCGATGTCCCCATATCCCCACACCCCATATCCTCACCCCCATATCCCATTCTTCCTGTATCCCGATGTCCCCATATGCCAATGTCCCTATATCCCATTTTTCCCATATCCCAATGCCCCCATATCCCGATGTCCCCATATCCCCACACCCCATATCCTCACCCCCATATCCCATTCTTCCTGTATCCTGATGCCCCCATATCCCAATGCCCCCATATCCCAATGCCCCCATATCCCAATGACCTCATATCCTGATGTCCCCATATCCCAATGCCCCCATATCCCAATGCCCCCATATCCCAATGTCCCCATATCCCAATGACCCCATATCCTGATGTCCCCATATCCCCACACCCCATATCCTCACCCCCATATCCCATTCTTCCTGTATCCCGATGTCCCCATATCCCCATGCCCCCATATCCTAATGCCCCCACATCCCAAAGCCCCCACATCTCCCCCCCCACCCCGCTGTCTGTAGGATCGCCTGCTGGCCATGGTGTTGGATAAGGACCCCAAAGTGGGGGTGGAAGTTGTGGGGCTGCTGACCGAGATGTTGGGGTGAGTTATAGGGCCGG